AGTGATGAAAGTAGGTGCGGGGGAAATTGGATCTGGCAGGGGTCAAGACAAAGGTACCCCTCCAGAGGAAAAGACTTAAGTTTATTCTAACCATACTTTGAACTTAATTTAATTTTACGTGTTTCTCGCATCTTGAGAAAGAACTTGTAACAGGTGCCTAAATGAGAATTTCTCGTCCATTCAACAATACATGCTTTTCAGTGAGAATTAGGTGAAAAGAATTTATGAGCAAAAAAAAAAAAATTCACAAGAATTTGTGGTCAGAAAGATCATGGATGGTGTTTATCTTCTAAATTAAGTAATATTGACGAAATGCAACATTGTGCTTCAAATCAAATTGATTCATCCTATTTCATATAACATAAAAGTACATTTGCAAGTCTGATAAACAATATAGGATATTGAAAAATTCTCTCTTACGTTGGTTATTCAGTCAGAGTATGGTACAGTATAAACAAATGAAAACATCTTTGCTCCGAAAGACACTATTTTCTAAATTGTTTGCGGACCTTTGTTTTTTAAAAATTTATTTTCAATGGTATGAGCAACCAATGGCATGTATGATTACAGCTTAGTTAAAAAAAAAAAATCTTCCTTTCTATATCATGACACAGAAAAGATTGTATCATTTAAACGGTCATCTGAAGGGTATTGTTTTATTTAACAGGACTGTGATTGCTATAATTATAATAGGCCTAATAATGGTAATATACGGTAGCATAGTTTAAATCAAAGAATGCTGGACAAAAACACACCAAACTAAAATAACTTAACACATCAAACAAAACTAAACTTATATGACATCATTTGCCACATTTAGTTCTATTAATTTCACTCAGTTAATTATTTCTACTTTCTGCTGACTATACAATTTGTGATTATCAGTTAAAACTATTAATAATTAGTTTTACATACAATGTATTGATGTCAGTCCAACCGAATTGCTTGAGCGTTATCTAATTATGCACTTTAACCTCCCTCACACGAAAACCGTGCCTTTGTTCACGCATAAGAGGTTCAACTCATTATCACAGCGAAGTTCACTATTTTATCTACTGTGATTAAACGTTTCCAGCATTCAGCGTTTCAGTAGCGTAAGGGGCCACTTGGGAAACCGCAAGGCAATGAAGAAAGACTAGCTGATATAAGGTCATGAATCGTGATAATGAAAACATGGCCAATGGTTGCTCAATTCTTCTGTGGCTTAAATCTATCAGGTGTAATGTTGATGTATAATAGAGTGTAATTTATTGTATTTTATTAATTAGGAAGTTAACAAAAGAAACATGCCGTAAACATATACCGTATACTCTATAAACATTTTAACATTTATAAAGAACTTATAAATGATAATGTTAGTTTTATAGAAGAGGTAGTGTCTTTACCCCCTACCCTTGTCCCCTCATCCCCTCTTCACTGGCTTACCTGCTTCAAGTCTATCAAAAGTGGCACACCAGATGATAGTAAGAAAGGCCCTTGACCATCATCCCTGGAGTTAATGTGCAGGCTGGGTGGCCAAGTAGGTCCACATTTTTTTAACTGATGTAAGTTGCTAGCTTACCTTCATTAGTCACTGTCATTTCCAAATAAGTCTGCTTCCTACACCGCTAATTATTATGTCAGTTTTTCCCACTTAACTATCTGTCCTCTTTTTATTTACTGCTCGTTTAACTTGATATCTATCACTTAATGTATCTGCCTCTTCATGCCTCCAGTCTTTCTATCCCATTTATCTCTGTCCATCCAGCCAGCTTGTTTCATACCCCTTCATTTAGGGTAGTATATCTCCTATAAATCCACAATAACTTGTGCCTGTACCAGGACAGACTCCTTACAACTTCACATTGGATTGGGCTTCTTATTGTACAAGTATTTTTTTCAAGAATTGTTTTAGGTACTTCATTACAATTACAATACCAATCATCATCATTCATTTTCGTGGGCTAAAATCATTTGTATTCATTGGAAGCCTCCAACGTCTACAGTTTGTGGAATTGTCAATAAGTTTTAGATGGGTCATATAAGCTATAAAGCTCACAACTGACCCAAAAACATCAAGCAAGTATCAAGCAAGTTATAACTTCCTTTTAGATGGTGTTTTTTTTTTGACAAATACTTTAGATGGTGGTTTTCCTTACACATATCCTTTGATCATCCTACCTTCCTTTTTTCCTTTAAATCTTTCACATCACCTGCCCTTGTTTATCTCTAGACTTACCTGTCCTTCGAATTCGATGACATCTATATTTTACCCTATTCAGACGTCAGTATATTTTAAGACGTTTATGTTTTCGTAGATCTCAACGATAATTCATACTCAACAGAGAAACAAGTAAGCCTATAACTAGTAATTATATTATGCATCATTGTGACAGCTGTACTAAATCTTGAATGTACAACAAAATTATTATATTATGTAATAAATTGATCTAGAACATATATAATTTTTAAAGACCTACAGTATAGTTAAATAATGACCTATAGAAAAAATAAAAATATTAGTTTGATGGGCTTCCTATTTACAAGCTCCTTGGGAATTTATTGGAGGTCCTTTTTATTCTATTGTATACATTTATTTAAGTATACATTATTTTATTATTTAATATCTGTTGTTCTTGTTTGTTTTTACTGTATATTGATGAAATTGATGACACTTTTCAAGAAACTCATAAAATACATAAACTTTATAATTATGCCTCATAAATACATGTTATTGTTTTAAATTAAATATGAAATGTGATTTCATTTACATAGGTTACACTATGGTATTTGACTTTATCAATATATTTATATAATTTTTAGTGGATATACATTACATTATATGGGTGATACTTAACAACTTTCAACTAGGGCGGGTCAGCTTTGCGCCAAATGTTGAAACAGTACTCAAAAACATTGACTAATAGCCTGAAGTACCCAACATTTTCTACTGTATATCATATAATACTTAATTCATGCATAATGTTTCTTGTACCAGCACAAACAATATGAAACGAAAGGTATAGAAATAAAACAAGAAAATATGAAAAGAGATCGAAATGGAAGCTTCTGTATTCTGTGGGGGTGACATAGGTATATAGTAAACTCTTTGATAAGTGCAATTGTATTATATGTTGAAGCTTGCGGTACACCACGTAGGTAGAACTGTTGTAGTTGAGAAAGTCTTTCTCAACTACAACAGTTCTTTTCAGAACTACCTACGTGGTGTACCGCAAGCTTCAACATATATGTTATTACTTCGCCATGCAAACCTTCAAACAATACTTTGCATTTGTATTGATATCTAAATATTATTATTATTATTATTATTGTTATTATTATTATTATTGTTATTATCATTATTACTATTATTATTGTTGTTATTATTATTATTATTATTATTATTATTATTATTATTATTATTATTATTATTATTATTATGTGAAATAATAACACTGCACCCCTATCAACAATTAAATAGAAATAATTAACTTTAATTGTATTGTTTATGGTATGTTTAAAAAATGTATTGTTATAAATTATAGCTTTTGTTTGGCCCCTAATACACAGCATCACTTTAAAACTTGTTTTGACATGTACATATTCCCATACCAGATATATTTCACAGAAACAGAATGATATTTTGACAGTGTGTAAGCCAAAATCTTAAAAAAGTCATATGAATTAATTTTTTAGTTAGTAGAATATTTTTCCAAAAAATTTATTTAAGATTATTTCTGATAAATAAAATATGAACAAATTGTATTTGAATTAATGTATTAGATGTTTGTTGATATTGCATTTTTATTTTAATGAAGTTTAATAAGATATTTGATCTTTGTTACTCAAGTTCAAAAGTGTGACACAGAACTTATTCCAATAAGCCATCAGGTTTGAGTCAAAGCCATTTATATAATATAATGGCAAATGATGTGAGCTTGTATACACTCAAACAGATCAATTTGTTCATGTCCAAATATCATTAGGCACAACCGTATCAGATGTCAGAACTAAGATATTTGCTGGAATATAAATCAAGTAAGTGTAGCTGAAATAGGCCTGATCCCCCTATAGACTTGACTTGTCTTCTACAAAATGCTAACTGATTTAACACCTAAGTGCTTACGAAGGCCACTGCCCCAGCCCAGATTTTTTTTCTAGGACTTCTGTCGTTGTAGCAACCACCTGCTCTAACTTAAACACTCAAGTTATGCGGGGATAGTACATGACGGGAGTGATTGGCCGAATGTGGCCTTTCCTGATTAACAACCGAAAAAACAGCGGTTTCTGCGATAATTGATAATGCAAGATATGGTTCTTTCATGGCATCACCAAAAGCGTAGGTGAAGGCCACACAAATCGGAAGAGTAAATTGCTAGATGTTTTATGTCTTTTAAGAAGTGATTCTATGCTTAAAGATGGAAAAGGCTTTTAACTTAAATACTACTGTTTATTCCATGAATAAGAAAGATTTAAAGTGGAAGGTGCAAAGCAAGCAACGTACTCGTTCTTGTTAAGATTGTTTGTCTGAAAAATTCTATCTAATGTGGAAACTTATTAAGAAATATCATTGTTGTAAAATTGGCAATATGCAATTTAGATTAAAAACCTTACATTCAAAATTGTAATTTTAATTGTTTACAACCCTTTGGAGATTAACCCTTAAGGGAAACATAGCAAAATTATCAGGATTCTTTTTTTCTTATTATTTTTCTTATTAGACTACATTCATTTATTACATTGTCATCTATAAATGAAATTAGTTTTTTTTTTTCTGGGCTGATAAAAAAGTGAAATTCAGATTAGAAAAATAAATGTTCCATAAAAAAATTTAAATTAAAATTTAAAAAAATGTATTTTAGTAACTTTTGTATGGCAAAACACCTCCATTAATGATACATGGAGATTATAAATACAAAATGTAATGCAAAAATAATGTTTACTTAAAATAGACAATAATTAATATGAAACTTGATTTAAATTAGCAAGTAATTAGTTATTTAACTTATTGTTCTTTATAGCTTTTTTAAAAAAGAATTTTCCATCTGCTAATGCATTTTTAAGCCTGGCACTCACTTCGCATGACGGTCGTCGGCCGAAGTGATTCTATGAAGAATGCAACACAATTACAAAGATCAGTTTAGAATACCACCGACAATCAGCAGACGGCATTGCGTCGTCTGGCGTTCACAGGAAGCGGAGTTAGATTCATCGTACTACGTAGTAAGTGCCCGGTTTTAGATGTAAGAATTTACATTGCATACATATCGTCGATCACATCACGAACTAACACAATCAAAGTAGATTGTGTTAGTTCCTGAAATCACAGTAGCGCGTCAAAACGAGCGTGTATTGGTTGTCAAGCAATTTTGTATTCTTTACCACACAAAAAGTCCGTAACAACAACTGCGCGTACTTTGACGTGCTTTTGTGAGCGACGATATAAAGGTTTAACTTCATTACTGTATATAAAATTAGTTAAGTTACTTAATTTTGTGTAAAACCTTTTTAAATAGAATTTTTTTTTAAACAGATATTTTAAAATGTTCATGAATTTACATTGCATACGTATAAAGGTTTAACTTCACTATTCAAAATTAATTAAGTAACGTATTGTTATTTATTTCTTTTTTAAAAAGAATGTCCATCTATTGGTGTATCTTTAGATGTAAGTTATTTAAAAAAATTTCAAGAATTTACATTGCATACATATAAATGTTTAACTTCATTATATAACATTAGTTAAGTAAAGGATTGTTGTTTATTGCTTCTTTAAAATTTCCATCTGTTAATGTACCTTTAGAAGTAATTGAAATTTTCATAAGTTTATATTGCATAGGCCTACCGTACATTATATAAATGTTTAAAACTTTATTATAACCATTATTTATTAATAATTGAACAGAAAACAAATTTTGCAGCCTAGAAATTGCAAATTTTTAACACTAATTTAGGATGAAAGAAAATGATGATTATTATTGTTACATGCAATGAACAATTACATAAATGTAGTAATTAGAATGTTAAAGCTTAATAAAGATAAGAGATGGCTCATTTCAAATGTGATTATAATAAATATGACAACAATTAAAATTCATCCAGAGTTTTCAATCAATGTAAAATAAACCCTCAATAAACTATTAAAAGTACAAAGCTAACACAAATTTCAATTATAAACAATGAAAAAAACCGAATCCCACCTCCCTGAGGGTGCTACAAATTTAACTAATTCTCACAGATGTGACATTTGACATGGTTCATTACTGCTAACTGGCTCTCCGACAGCGATACTTTTTCTTGAGCCAGTGAATTTTATCAGCGGGTAAAATGCAGAATAAATCTTCATTTACAAGCTGTCGATGTTGCTTACATTTTAGTTCCTCTCTTAAAGGTTTCTCGACCCTTGGCACCTTCAAGATTATAAAAGATTGTTTTATTAGCATTTTGGATTTGGTTTTGATTCCTGTAGGGAGAGGATTCTGGTATGCTGTCCGAATTAGATCTTCGCAATCCTCACTGGGTCGTTAATATTGGGCTAGCGGTGATATTTCAAATTATTTTCATCTTTCTCCGTTAAAAGTCTTTAAAGTGTGATAATCAAATAACAATCAATGACAACTTGCGGATTTTATAGTACTACTAACAATTGTTTTATTTTTACAACATGTAATCTTTAAATAGTTGTTTATACTTTCTTAATTGAATCAATATACTGTGGATATGTTTTTCTTAGAAGGAAATTAACCAGTCGACCAATTTAATCAATCTATCAATTTAAAGAGCTTTTAAGGCAAAAAATCCATCATTTAAAAGTTCAGTATGTAGGTAGGTCTATTAAGTTTGTTTGTTTGAATACTATAAGCCCCATAATTTAAGATTCCTAAATTTTTACGTTTTCTATGAAGCATCAATAAAATAAATGGTGGTAGAGATTGTGATGGTTGGCTTACAACTGTTGTAAAACCACATTTTACACAGTTAGGCTAGCCTACATATTATGTTAGATGAGATAAGATAAGATTTTTTGGTTCTCTCTTTTATAACAGAGGAACACTCCCGCGTAGGAGAGGTTCGACCCGTACAAAAGTTACAAAACAACAACTGACAATATATAAAAATGAATTATTATGTTAGATTGGTGTTATTTCAGCGAATATTTACTGTATACAAAATATGTTTTGACATTCAAGTTAGCTTTTTGTTCATATATTTCAGTGTCCTAAATGAGAAAACAGACCAAATGCATAAATCTTTTTTATAAATAATTAATACAATTATGTATTAATCTGTATTCAGAAAGTGGTTTTAGATCTCTCAATTTAAACTAGATGGCGTGGTTTCCATTCTAGTTTTTAATTGAATCGCCTCCCCGATCGCCTCTAGGAAAATGGACACATTGATTTGTTGATTTTTATTGGCTAGTCACTACAATTTCCTTGGCCGAGTCGTCTGAACAGGGCTGTGGATATGCTCTGTTTATTGATAATTTCCTACGATAATACTAAGATACAAATACGTAGTTACGTTAGCTCACTTTGGTAATCATGTTTGTAACATGATACTAATCAAATGTTCTTTCACGTGCTGACATTGTGGATTAGACTTTTCAGTGAACACTGCAACTAGAATGAAATCAAGTTTTAGCCACCCTATCTGTCATTCTTAGATGTGTCTCGGAACCTTCCTGATGGTGTTCATTGCAAAGTAAATTGTTTAGGTCACTTTACAATTTCCCAGTTCAACAGAAGTCCTTTTCTGAGAATGCGTTTTGATCAGTATCATGGTTTTATGTTTTTGATGAAAGACGGATTCAAGGTTGGCTGTCCTGTGTGATTTCTATGACTAGTTAGCTCCTAAGTTTTTGTATCAATGTGTTGACAACATCATTTATAAAAGGCGAAAATATTGATTCAATACTGACCACTGCAGAGTATTCAAACTAACATATCAACACTTTCACTATCAGTGTAGAGGTCTTTTAGGGGGGGGGGAGGGGTGCACAAAGGTGGAGCTGGAGGGACTCAATGATTAAGTGAGGGGGGGGGGGGGGGTGCACAAAGGTGGAGCTGGAGGGACTCAATGATTAAGTGAGGGAGGGGGAGAGGCTAGGTCCCAAAAATAAAGGGATATGTGGTGATCTTTAACTACTTCAGCTTGATTTTTTTTGCTTCAGACATTTTCGATTGGGGGGAGACTGGGGCGCTAGCATTTTTAAGGAGGGCGTGTTCCCCCTGCGCACCCCTACATACTCTATGCCACACTATATCAGTGAATATTCTTGAAGAAGATTTAGTCTGAGTTGCAATGTCACTAAGAACCAGTGTATTAGTAAATATGCATTGGTCAAGGATGCAAAATTTTCCCAAGTCAAACAGCTTTTAAAATTTTTCTTATTAACTGTAATGAATGACTTGATAGCCATTTTCTAGAGTAATTATTTTGTAATTATTCAAATCAAGTTATTAACAAAAAATTAATTTAAGACTGACTAAATCCAGTTCAAAACTATCTCAGCACTTCTTCTTATATCAAAATGCACTTGTTTTTATTGAATCTTCTTAAGGAATCTGTGATATAATTGTAAAGCTGTTAATAGTGATTAGATCCTTCTGTGGAGAAATTAGTGAAATTCTAGTAAAAATTGATTGAAAATCAGTGACAACGTACCTGTAAAATCACAGTCAAATTCACTGTCAACTCGTTCAGTATCCCTTTATTGAAATGTCTATTCCAATGTAACCATGTGTCGTCGAATAGATTGTGACCTGTGACCGATTCTTAACCTCCAGGTTACAAACGGTAGGCTCATACAACAAGGTCTCATGTGTTTTAATCATCTATAGGTTAACTATGGGAGATATAATGGGTTAAAAATGTCCCGTTCATATATTTTTTTTATTTAAAAAACACAAAAGAATAAACCTTGTACTGCGAACAAAATTCTGATTTTATCATATGATTTAGCCGAAGCAAACATTAATGTGTACAGTGAGAATTATGAAGGGATTTAAAGGTAATAACAAAGAATTATTATGTAAGGGATAGAGTTTCCCCATTGTGTGTCTTAATTTACAAAACAATCTTGCCTCAGACGGTAATAATGTAAATTCAGTTACAATTTATAATGAACTTCAGATCAAACGAAATGACCAAATTTAACGAGACAAATGCAATCAGAATATGCATGTTAGTTAGGTCGGTTGACCTTCATTCTGATCAGGTTTTTAATGACCCACATTTTTTTTTCTAATAATACCAACAATTTTAGAAATCATCTATGTTATTCTTATTATTTTCATTTATTTGTAATTGCTTCATGGTATAGATTGCATATTTATCTGCTCAAGGTTTCTAACATTTGATGATCATATCTCAATCATGAAGGAATAACATGCTGATAAATAATTAACAATGTTTTTTTTTTATTTCTAAAGTGATAGTGACGTGTTCGAGTGAAACCCATATCAACGTTACATATTTTGTGCTAATAGAGACAAGAGATTCATCAATTTAATCTTGAATATCTTATTTTTTTAATATCCAATAAGAAGTACAGCATGCCAATTACAAGATGGGTGATGCTTCGTAAACATGTAATAATTACTTCCTTATTATTTAGTAATAAAAATTACATTTTTAATGTCATATCATTACTTTAAAATAGAGTTAATTCAATATGAAACAAGTCCCACATTTAAAAATCAATGCTTACAGTGGCGACCCATTTTCACCTTGCATATAATATTAATTGAATGTTATGTTTGCGTTGTTTTATATGGAAAATAAAAGTTTATGTGAAGTATATAAACAAAGAATTTGAATTGTTTTTCTTGTTGAGAAAAATATCCTGGTGTTTCACTAAACACTCATCGAGAATAAGTACAGTTACATTCCCCCCCCCCCCCCATCCCAAAAACAAAACAAAAAAACACACACATGGCTGTATTGCTGTAATTCAAATGTTAAGATAGATGATTTTCAATCTCAAGGAAATAAAAGCAGGAAGTAAGAAGTTCTACCAAACTGAGCCTAGTTTCCATAACATTTGTACACTGTCGCTACAGTGTTTTCATTACACTGTTTAGCTGCCTCCGCCGACCCATCTTGGCAGGCTCCCTGATATGACTGACCAATCCATGTCGCTCACAGCTGTAGGCAATAGTTTGTAGCAATTTTATGCAAACCATGCTGAAGTTGGCATTTGTTGAATTTCATCTCAGTACTTTCAAGGGTCCTATTCAGATATCATATCTGCTGTTTTTAAAGATGTAGAATAGGCCTATATTGTGCAAGACATTAATTTGTTCAGTAATGATATATCAATAATGATACATTAGTAATGATGATTTATGATGATGTTATAACAAAATAATAATTATACTAGTAATATTAAGTGAATTATATTTTGGAGTTGACTTACATTTTCTCGAAAAGACTGATATACACATCTAGATGTGTATAAGAGACAGTATATATACAACAAATGCTGATACAGTGTAATTGTTTTATTGTTCCATTACGCATAGGCTATTATGTGCCTCAATCAATCAGTACAATTCTGCTTAGTGTTGTACTCATGACTGCAGAACAACTTAAAGTGCATTAAATCTCCATATAGGGTGGACCTACATCATATCTGATGCGGGTTCAAGCAGCTATAAAAGATGCTAATACAAATTTCCATCAACAATCTTGAGAATGCTCATGTAAATGTTCACGGGATTGCGATGGAATTTGTGTTTGCGATAGGAATCGTGATAGGAATCGCAATGGACACTGTAACAGGACTTCAAGCATCTACACAGATTCAGGAAACAGTAAGCATACAAGTTGTCAGAGAGGCTATACAACTATTTTAATCAGGGCAATGTGGTTGGATTGTTTAGTGGTATGTACTTTTTAACGTCTCCCGTCAAAGCTTGTTGTCAAATATACATTTTGTCCTATTTCATTTGGGAAATATTTTTGACAGAATTAGGTCGGATCAATTACAGAAATGAAAGATCGTTTGATTGATTGATTGTCAGTGATGTACTTGTAAATCAGCAACATAAAGCAGATATGACAGGGATCAAATGATGAAGTCAAGAAAGCAAAATGCATTAGCTAGAGAAGCCTGACAACATTTTTTTCTACGACATCAAATTGCATACGTCTGCTTATAGGGACGTGCTTCACTTCACTCATCACCGAGTTCAAATTGAACAGCGGCAACAAATATAGTTTTTCAGGTTGTAGATTTTTCCTCTTCTTTATTGTAACTGTTACCAGGTCGGTTCTTGACAAATATTGTGCATGGTTTGAGCTGAGGAAAAAAAAATAGGTTTGATATTTTATGAGGTCGTTACTCCTTTGCCCTCTTAATTTCCAGTCCACTTCTTCTAGGACCATTTGTGAAATGTTCATGTCTATGTGTTCACTGTGTTACTTTGTTTACCAGTTTATAACTAGCCCTATCTATTTGTGAGCTGATTCCGGCTCTCATTTCTGAAATTCCATTCGTAGCAGTTCTTTACTTCTAGTGGTGCCTAGGGTGCCTTCATTGGGAAGAAAAACATTTTTATTTAATGGAGCTTACAAATCCTGACGAAAATTGATTAAATTAAAAAAAAAAGTCTTTCATATATTTTAATTGTTGGACCTACTTTTGACTGCCACTAATAATACTGTTAATCTTGAATAAAAGCACAATGGGCTTAATCTCAAGATGAAAGCCCATCACAAAAAGAAGCCCCACTCTTCAGTTTGCAGAAGTAATCTCGAAAAGAAGCCCATCTGGAAATGAATCCCATGGGCATCTAATCAAGGTAGTATGGGCTTCTTTTCGAGATAGTACTTACATTCAGACCTGCGTCATCTTTGATGATTATGATAGCATGTCAGTATTATTTTATTACGCTAGCATGATTCAAATTAAAAAATACAACAGAATTTTAAAATCCATATTTGGAATGTGTTGTATAGTAGCAATTCCACATGCTTACAGCATTCATTTGGAAAAGAAACCCCCTTTTTAGTTTGCAAAACTAATCATGAAAAGAAGCCCATTTCAAAAAGAAATCTATCAAAGGGTCATAAAAAAGAAGCTCAGGGCTTCTATTAGAGATTTTATGGTATGCTATAAAACTGTCTAAATCTTATTTGTATCAATAACACTTATTTAGTATACAAAAGCTTTGTAGATAGTTTTTTTAATTGTCATATTCGACACAATGCTGTTTATTCTGATATCTATTTTTTAACAACCAGATTTAATTGAATTGAAGTTAGCATTGCCACAAGCTGTGAAAGAATAGTCACTTCAAGTATCATATAATAAGAAAATTTCTTATCATTTGCATATTTTTCATGCATTATTCATAAGTTCTCATGTATTATTCATATTTTTCATGTATCATTTTCTTTAACACTGGTGGCAACCTATATTTTCAGGTTTTGTAGGTGCTTTATAATTCTTTATAATGCATATTTAGCAAACGTATGTCTAACACATGAGTAACAATTATCAGTTCAAGGCATGAGGCTATATTTTCTCATGTACTTGACAGAAAGTTTGTACAGTGTGTCACTTAAATAGATAGAAAGCTTCCTTCATTTTACCTCAAGAAGTGCACTGTATATTGAAGCTTGTGTCTCCTCGATAAATGTTCACACTCGTCGGTAAAGTGCTGTCTGTTACTGTAGATCAGTACTCAAAAGACTAATATACCTACTCCTATTATTCCCCATTAATGTCAGCCAAACATGAGACTACAAATAATGGGAATGATTTTAGCCTTGTTTGTGGTAATTATCGTAGAGTGATGACTTTTCTTCTTTTATTTTACTTCAAATAGGAAATCCGGCTGCATATCCTATCCTCTAATGTCGCTCAACTTCATGAAGTGGACATGGAAACCAATTTGCAGGTACTATAAATTTTAATTGAGATACGTAGACATGTTATTTTTCATTGATGTCTGATTTCAAATGTTACTTTCAGTACGCATTTTATTATTTGTGTATAAAGATGCAATAGTTCTGAATTTGACACCATTTCAGCAGAATAGCAAACCTAGGAGCTTAATAGTGTTTGAATTCTATTGTGAGCCAACCGCCCTAAAATGCTATTGAATGTTTTTTGTTGTTCTTTATCAATGCTGTGCAAGAAAAGACACTGTTTTATTCACTGTAGTGCCAAAATAATACTAATACAGTATGAAAGGTGTTTGCCTTTGATGTGTTATCATACTGAATGCTCAGTACTTTCGCAAATGCTTGCGAAAAAAAAAATCTTGCAATTAAATCAGGTGGGAATCAAAACCCACAACCTCCAGATGACTAGACCACCAAATGGATGAATCCGATCCTCAAGTGCAGCGAGAACTGCAACGTTATTCCGATACTTTGAGATCGGATTCATCACTGGCCACCTAGCGCAAGCTCGGTGGACGAGTGGTTAAGACACCAGACTAGTAATTTGGAGGTCGTGGGTTCGATTCCCACCTGAGTCACTTGCGAGATTTTTTTGTTGTTGCAAGCATTTGGGAACGTACTGAGCATTCAGTACGATAACAGGTCTGATAGAGCACATCTTTTGTATTATTTCTCCTGATGCAAGAAAACATCGGAATAGTACAATATAAAACCAGTAATTTTACAAACAGATTTAATCATAGTATAAAATGAAACCAAATGTGCAACCCAGAAAATATATCACCCCAGTTTGTTTAGCATTTCATAAGAGCACATCATCAGTCAAATAATCAATTGCTTATGTTTATTTCAGTTTATATCCTCTTTGCATTTAAACATGAAAAAAGATATACTTCCGAAATGATTGACTGTTGGAAAAGAGAATGAAAATTGATTGTTATTGAAAATAGGATATTTACACTCAATTAACCTCTGTAAGTAATTGATACACAGATGTGATAAGAATGTCACATTACTTCCCATTATCCGGTATTATTATCCGGCACTCTCTATTTGTTTGATTCACGGCACCCATGGTTTCAGGCTAATCTAAGGTTGATGTAAACTATCGTTCAGTAGTCTTTGCATGTATGAAGCTTCCAAATTGTTACGTGCAGTGAAATATTGACGGCTTTTTACTTATTAGAAAGAGTAGCAAACAAGCTGATTATATACGCTGCTAAATGTTTACTTATTCTACATCTACTTGTAGTGTTATCATTTATTGGTATAACCACAAAGGAATTTAATGTAAGAGAATGACTATTATAATGCATAGCTGTCCACAACTCAATAGCATTAGTTATAAAGGTGATAAAAATATCAAAGTAATTAAAATAAAATAAATAATAATAAATTTATGTAATATTTTCAGTCCAACAATTTTAATGTCTAGATTGCTGCTATATCTATATTTTTAAATTGTATTCTTTGTGTTATATAAATAACCTCAAATCTTTATAAATAATACATATAAAGCCCTTTTAAAATTTCAACTACTAAAATTGAATCAGAATCTGAATTTGAACCTAATATCAAATCATAATAAGTATGATAAAATTTTAAAAGAAAACTGATGTAAAGTTAGTTAAAAGCAATGTAAAAATAATAAATTAAATAAATTAAACATTTTAATGCTTAAAACACCATGAAAACTGCCATGATCAAAATAAACAAGACAATGAACCAGGAAACAAGATTCAATTAACTGAAGCTGCTTGAAGTGTCTATAAAGTACAAAATCCATCAATAATATATATTAACTTACATCATTGCTATTCAAATATGAAGCCTATAACAGCTGCCTTAGGGGGCCCATAAGATTATGATATTACAAACAGCATATGAAATGTATATTGTCAACATACAAATAAAATTAATACAATTATACACATGTAAAATATTTGTTTTTTGTATGGATGTCTTGGCCAGCATAATTATAATTTTATCTTGTATTAAAGTATAAGTAGAGGGTGTAATTTTATGGCTATTTTCTAGTATGTTGTTTATTTTGTTGTTCAAAATTACACAAGAGCAGTTGTTAGGTATACAAATATCGTCATTCCTATAATTTTTCATATTCCTGATTCTATCTCCTCTAAAGTTTTCTCAATTTTCTCATTCCATGTACTTGAGCCAATTTTTATTTCAACTACCATGTACCATGACTCATTCTTTTAATGGTTTTTGAGAGTATTTTTCATTGTTAGCTTTGTATGGATATTGTATTTTGATTAAATATTTCGACATTTCTGAGTTTACTTTCCCTACTTTAAATTGATTGCCAATCAAAAGTAGAGTAACATACGCAACTAAGTAATTTATGAAGAAAAAACATCCGACATAAGGTTTTCAATCAAACGTTGATAGGGATTAAAATAATGTAAGAAAAACATGCAACATTCGTGGCCTTGAGGGAAAAAAAATCTTATTGCAGTTTTATTCAAAATCACATCAACATGACAAGGATTTATCTAGTGAAATTTAATTTAGGTTTCCTGTTGAAAAAAAAGGTTGAGAGGTTAGGCCTACTGTTACTATACCTAGTAACAAATGATTGAGGCTTTAAATGGCTAATAAAGCCATCACACCCAAAACACATCAATTTTAAAATCAAAACCTAAGAATACTCATCAAAATTTTTTATCTACGGGGATTCTTTAAGACTACAAATTTGTACTCATTCCTCTTTTCACTACAAAAGATATATTTAATTAAATATCAGTATATAATTATAAATTATAAAAGTACCTGTTTAGAATTTTAATACAAATTTAATATTTGGATTGATATATGGCATTTATTCAATCAAAATTCATAAAAACATAAAACATGGCAGTCAAAAGGCTGAATTGCAAATTATGTTAAATGAGCAAGCTTTACTAATAGTTAAAAAATAAAGGAAAATAACAGAAACCAAAAGAAGAAATCACTGCACAATCATTATAATAAAAGTATATGTTACATTATTTGGATATTATTTGATGTGTTATCTTGGAATAAGTCTCTCCTGGAAATAAGTCTATCCTGGAAATAAGTCTATCATGAATTTTATTGGGAAGTTGAAGTAAGCCTATATATTATTTATTTTATTTATTTCAACAATATTTAAAGAGAGTCAAAGGAATGCTAATATCCTGGGCCCTCATTAGTAAAAAATAAAACATCTACATTATAAATAAAAAATATATGAGAAATAGCTATGTAACATCTATGATTAATTGCCCTTTATGTTAGTTCCTTGTAATCATTTAATGAACAACTAAAAAAAAAAACAAGTAAACATGCTTTCTAAAGCACTTATAACATACAAGAATGTATCCGGTCTGTGGTAAAATCTCATAATGATGTTAACTTCTTACCATCAAGGTGAAATTCATAACTTTATTTCCTGATTTAATCATTTTATTTACGAGTTTAAATTTTAATTGGGCCTTTATCAATTTATTCTTTACTTTAAAACAATTTTATTCTAACTAAAAGAACTCAAAATATATTTAATATTTTTATATAAAAAAATATAAATATAAAATACATATACAAAGCAGAAATATACAAACATCAAGAATCAATCTCAAAATAATACCAAAAATATATGTAATTGAGATTAAGCATATGAAGTATTTTATTCATAGTGAAGATATCAAAAGAAAAAGTAATTCATATTTGGATAGGATAGAGGTCACCGCTTGACCTGTGAGCAGATAAATGTTTTATTTTGTAATGAATATAATGACGTATGACTATCATTTTGATGTCAGATATTTTTTTGTTGTAGTCCAGAGACTTCAAAAAATCGTAAGTTAAAACGCAATATAAATTTGAATTGTTTACTGTTATCTTGGGAGGTAGCCGAAGATGGTTCATGTTTGGCCTTTTCAAAACACTAGTTGATACATTTCAATTGCTTTAATGTATGTGATTACGATCTCATGGTCTGACACGGGCAACAGACGGCAATTTGACTGACACCAGGGGGACCGTGTTAACCAAGCAAAGCTTAACTACAGAACTTTGATCTAAATTAAACGTTGCGTGTTTCGTGAGGTTTCTGATCCTGTCACTCAGCTTGTCGTTTTTGGTATGGCGTTCACTTCCTTCTTATTGCCAACGTTGATAGTAATTGGTGAATTAAGAATGGCAGTTTTGAAATTCTACCTTGGCTATCGTGTATAATTGTCAACTCTCGTTCGCGATCATTTTGTTTGATGTTGCTTTCAGGTTTTTTTTTTATGACGATACCAGATTTGCTACCCAGAAAAGGGGCCAATAGTACCCCTATCTCATATCCTATTACAACTCAAGTTATTTATAAACTCCCCAGCTTCTGTCTGGCATTACCTCAAAGCTTTGAACAGTTAAAATAACATTTTAAAATGAATTGGTATAAATAATCTTCATTGTCATATATACTGTATATGGTATATACATTTATTGCACTCTTTCGACCATAGGTCATCATCAGGTACTGGAAAAATTGATGGAACAAGATTATATAGATATAGATTCATCTAAAAAAAGCAAAGGTTAAATATTATAATTTAATTTATTTTTAGGATATCTGCCGTCATTGGCACAAGGTAATATTTGATTTAACCTTTTCTAATGTGATTTGTGGCTTTTAAATTATTAAGTAATGTTAACAAGTTTTTATTTCTAAATGTCTTCGCTACAACAATGAAGGTAAACGGTAATGATGATGTCATACCACAGTGCCTAATCAATCAAAAAAATGATTGTATAATCTTTTTCACAATGAACGTAATAGTAATGGTGTTATTTTGATAGCACCCGATCAATCAAAAAATATTTCTTAAATGATGAGAAAACGAATGGTAATCAGAAAATCTTGTATAGAATATAATATGTTAAAATAAATAATGTAAAAATTTGTACAAGTTGTGCCAGAGCTGTTGTTGAATGATTAATGATAATATTAATAAATTGGTTAATTAACAATTAATAATAATAATGTAATGATGATTTTACTTTTACTTTCATATCCTGAAAAATAATTTTTTTTAAATTTTATAAGAAAAATATTCATAAAAAGAATAACATTTTCCAAATTTCTAATTCTTAATATTGTGGTCCTTAAAGATTAAACCTTGTTAGAATTAAATTTATCACATAAATAATCCTTACACACTTGGTAAAATATACAAAAGTAAGAAAGAAATATTTTGTTCTACATATACAAGAACAACACTTTGAAAACATAATCACAGGGCCTGGAATATTAAAACCTGTTTTGGGTCTCATTTACACTTAAGCAAAATACCTTATGTACTAATACTGGACTAGCTTTGATTAGCGAAAAGGCAAGAAATTTAAATCGTCAGCCTCTAGTCTCGCCCAGTCTCCGTGGAGGTAGTTTTGGGCTGGCTTGATGTCGGCACTATGTTAGTGTTAATGCTATCTGACTTGAGGCAGGCACACATATTACACTTCATGATCGTGTGATTACCGCACACGACAAACGATCAGTAATTTTCATCGTCCAGTTCCGTGGATTGCATTGCAAGTAATGTGGAGTGCT